TATATAAAGGGTGGGTGTCAAGAGGATGGGGTTGTACTCAGCAACAGAACAAGGGGGAACTGGCACAAGCTGGAACACAGGAGGTTCTGCTTGAACATGAGGAAAAACTTCTTTACTGTGAGGGTGACAGGCCACTGGAACAGGCTGCCCAGAGAGGTTGTGGAGTCTCCTTCTCTGGAGACATTCAAAACCTGCCTGGATGCAGTCCTGGGGCCGTAGGTGAACCTGCTTTGGTAGGGAGGTTGGACTAGATGATCTCCAGAGGTTGCTTCCAACCCCTACTATTCTGTGCTTCTGTGAATGTGATTCTCGTCCTCATTCTATCTCAATTCATTAGTTATTTACTGATCTCCTAAGAGAACTGTTTCACCTTCAAGGTAATGTACCAGTATAGGTTGGGGACAGACCTGTTGGAGAGCAGCACAGGGGAAATGGACCTGGGCGTCCATGAGCCAGCAATGTGCCCTCGTGGCCAGGAAGGCCAATGGCATCCTGAGGTGTATTAGAAGGGGTGTGTGGTTAGTAGGTCTAGAGAGGTTCTCCTCCCCCTCTACTCTGCCCTGGTGAGGTCACATCTAGAATATTGTGTCCAGTTCTGGGCCCCACAGTTCAAGAAGGACAGGGAACTCCTTGAGGGAGTCCAGCATAGAGCCACCAAGGTGATTAAGGGAGTGGAGCATCTCCCTTATGAGGAAAGGCTGAGGGAGCTGGGTCTCTTTAGCTTGGAAAAGAGGAGACTGAGGGGTGACCTCATTAATGTTTATAAATATGTAAAGGGCGAATGCCAGGAAGTTGGAGACAGGCTCTTCTCAGTGATGTCCAACGGTAGGACCAGGGGAAATGGGTGCAAGCTGGAGCATAGGAGGTTCCATGTAAACATAAGGAAAAACTTTTTCACTGTGAGAGTGACAGGACGCAGGAACAGGCTGCCCAGGGAGGTTGTGGAGTCTCCTTCTCTGGAGATATCCAAAACCCACCTGTACATGGTCCTCTGTGACCTGCTGTAGGTGATCCTGCTCCGGCAGAGGGGTTGGACTAGATGATCTCCAGAGGTCCCTTCCAATCCCTCGCATTCTGTGATTCTGTGATTATCTGCCGTTTTGTAAGACATGCACCTTGTTGCCTTACCTGTGTAGTACGAAATCATGCATGCTGCTGCATGCAGCCTGCTACTTCTCTAAGAAGAGGCTTATTTGAGCAGTCATTTGAATCTCTCCCAAAAAGCACTGCTTATTTGGCTGGAGGGAATTTACCAGTACTGCGTCTCTCCTAACAAATGGTGCCTCAGCTCTACCTGTGCAGCTTTAGCACTAAAAGGAAGTCTTCTTCTGCTTTTGACATCCAGCACCTTTGACTGCATGTGTGTCCTGGTTTTTAGCTGAAACAGAGCTGGGTTTCTTTTTTAGTAGCTGGGATAGTGCTGTGCTTTGCTCTCAGCCTGGGACTTGTTATGAGAGAAACACTGAGAACAAAGAGAGAAAGTGTTTGCATTTTTGTCACTGGAAGTGAAGGGCTTCGTGTTCTGTTAGTCCACAAGCACAAGACTTAAGGGGGTGAGGAATATTTAAATTAATGAGCTAAATTTGCATTTGGATATGTCAATAGGATATTCCATATTGTATAATGTTCAGCATAATAATGAGGGTCTCTTCCTCTTTTCTCTCCCTCTGACTTGCTCGGGCTCTCGCTCTTTCAGGATTGCAGTTTTGGTTCGGGATTGTTGCTCCTCCGGGATCGTTGTCTGGGAACAGGCTGGGCTTGGTCAGCGGACGGTGAGCAATTGCACTGTGTGTCACTCATTTGCATATTTTATTACTATTATTATCATTTTTACTATTTTAATATTGGTATTATTTTAAGTTTTATTTCAATTATTAAACTGTTCTTATCTCAACCTACAAGCCTCCTTCCCCTTGCCCTCCAATCCTGTCCCCTATCCCCTGGGGGTGAGGGGGAAGTGGGTGAACGGCTGTGTTGGCTGCTGGCTGAGGGGCTAGCCCAGGGAAACCACCACAGTCATTTTGGCACCACAATGTGACAGGCTGTGAAAGCCAGAAGGAAAGTGTCAGACTGCAGAGCAGGAAGAATCAGAAGTGAAAGAATATGCAGGTGATAACTCGCAATGTGGTTGAAGTGGTGTGCCCAAGCCACAACAAAGAACATCTGAAGAACAATTAGTGTTTGAGAAGAATTTGGAGTTTGTTGTTTTGTTTGTTTTTCTTTTTGGATGTAGTTTCTTACTGGAAATCTAAAGGAACTCAAGAGTGAATGAAACTTGACAACAGCATTTCAAGACAGTTTTGTAACAAGAATTTATTCTTTCACAACAAAGGGCCATAAAGAGCATCCTTTTCTTTAGTATGATAAATTATATTTCTGTAATAGTAATAAAAAGTCACATTGCGGTGTTCCTTTACGTTGTGTTACCAAATAAGTGCTAATTATTCCATTGCCATTGTCTGAACATCCTCAACCATTTACAACAGACATGGAAAAGCTGCTTGAATAAATGTTCTGTGTTTAAATCACTAAGAAGGTAGTTAAAAAGACAAAAGGAGTCCTTTTTTTGTGGGCATGCTTATAGACCATATTTCCTTCTGCAGGAATCCCAGAAGTTTGTGTGTACAATGAAAATTTGACAAGCTCCACAGAAAAAAATAATCAAAGGATGATATATAAAATATTTTAGTTACGTTTCATGCAAACCGTGAATACAGTATAGTTACCTGGAGTAGAGTCACAATCAGAAATCTTAAAACACTTCATAGATGTGTGATTTCACTGGGAAGTATGCAAAATGGTTGTAAGGAGCGATGTGTTGGCTGGTAGGAACACAGATGCGCTAGATGATACCAGTGAAGAAAATCTGCCTATTCTATTTTGAATTGCTGAGTAACTATAATCACAAAGTAGTAAATTACTGGCATCCTATCGCAGTGGCATTTGTCAGGTAGATAAATACACCCATCGTGCTTATATCTGCACATTTCTAGTAGTGATTGGCAAGGTTCTCAGTAAGTGTGCGTGTGTGGTTTGAAGCAGAGTTTGTATTAGTTATAGTGCACACAAAAACATATTGGGAAAGATTTGCTCTCCACACAAATGCACAAAACCATAGTCTCAACCAGCCTACTCCGTCTGGAATGCTACTTAAAAGCCTAGCAAGGATTTATGTAAAGCTTTAGGGAGAAATGTTTTTAGAAACCATTCTGCTCTCACAATAACTGTAGTTAAAATCTTGAGCTCAACGTACTAAGAAGAAACTAAACATACTTAACTAAATTCCTGTGATTTAATAGGAAAAGCAACAAAACATGAAATTAATAAATTACTGCAAAGTTATCTAAATGAATAACTCTCATCATCGTATTCAAGATCATCTTCCACATCATCCTCCAAAAGTCCATATTTAAATTTGCGATAGACTGTGCCATCCTGGCCCATATACACTATGTCGTCTTCATCATCATCTTCGTTATCCGCATCTCTATACTCAATCACTTGATCTTCCTGGTAACTGGGACTCTCATGGTAGCTACTCATGTAGGAAGGAAAGGTTTTGGGATGATTTGTCAGCTTCTCATACCCGCCTTTATTGACAGCCTCGGTTTTGGCTCGTGATTTTCTCCAGACAAATATAATGGCTCCAATGACAAGGAGAAGCAAAATGCAGGTAATAACAAAGAAAATAGTTTTGCTTTTGGTCTTGGGTGGTAGAGTGGTCCGTAATACACAGTCATCTACAACAGCAGTTAAAAAAAAAAAGACCTTGTATGTGTGTGTGTGGGATATTTGTCTTAAAAAAAGCAGTACAACTTTTAGGCCTGTTTATATTTTTAAATGCATTTGACTGAATACCTTACTCTTCCAGTACCACAACTGTGTTCTTGTAGCTGTGATGGTATAAGGATGTAAGCGAGTTTGCTGGGATAGCTATGCTTCTGTATTAGATTAGAAATAATCAGGAAGAAGCAGAAAAGCTAACAGGCACACAAATACATTTTCATATGCTTAAAATGCAGTGATTCAGGTGGCTATCAGCTGAAGCAAGCATTCCCTGTCACCTGATTTTTTAAATGCTTGGCCATTTAACAGGATAGCTGTGAGTACAAGAGGGTGCCATCTCCTGCATCAGTCACGATTGCTGTTATTTGTGTAAAGCCATTCCTGTTCTAGTGATGGAGCACTAGAAGCACACTGTGTGCCTGCAACTCAGCAGCCCGTTTTTGCTCTATTCCCCTTTTGATTTTTAAATGTCAGCCTAGTGAGTCATAAAGCCCATTACTGCTCTTCAGCATGGTCCTACCTTGTGTTTCACTGCAGTCACAGCAGTCTGAGGTGCCTGCTGGGTCAGGGTCACTGCAGCAGGGCAGGCAGCGGCTTTCCTCCAGGTACAGCTGCATGCTGGCCGGACAGACCGTGCAGTTGAGAGGCCCAGGTCCCTTGCACTCAGTGCATGACTTGTCACATTTCTCACACTTGGGCTCGTCCTCCTTCAGACACAGAACAGAAGCAATGCACTTTTCAGTTTGGATTCTGACCTGCCCAGTTCTGTCCTGTCATTCACTGTCTGGGTGGTCATCTCTGGACACCATAGGTGTCAATGCAAAATACAGTAGGGAGTAGGAAAACTAAAATTTGATTCATGTTTCCTAGGTTCTCAGTGATCTGCTTGTAGGGAGAGGGAGCAAAATTGTAGGAGCTCAGAGATCTCACCTAGCTAGACAGCAAAATAAAATATGGCCAGACTGTAAGCTCTTTGTCCAGAAAGCGTGTTTCTGTTTTACTAGTCACATCCTAGCAGATCTGTGGTTCGTTGGCAGTAGTGATGGTAAAGTGGCCTTCAAGAAGTATACCCAAGAGTATCATTAAAAGTAACTGACAAGGGAGTAGCAACATGAAATATTCTGGAATAAGAAAAAGGCAGCTGAGAGAATGAATTTCCTTTCTAACTTGGGAAGGAGCAGAAGTAAGGAATAAAGCTGTCTGGAAATTTTCTAGCAAACCAGATTTTTATTAGATTGTGTTGGTTCTGTTTTACAGAAACAGCTTAGATTCAAATATGCTTCTTAAATTCCAGATAGGCTCCTGGGAGCCTCTGTGTACAAAGACTACCAGAGAGCATTGTTGTCACATTTACCTTGCAGAACGCTCTGAGCTCAGATATTTCAGGGCTTCCAGTGTTCACAATTCCTGGCCTATTGAGAAAAAAGTTCTATTTTTCTGCTGTGGGAGCAGGACACCATATCCATTGTGAGGATCTGGAAATCCAATAACCTTTCATAAAACTTGCTGTCAGACCTGTGAGGCTACTTGTCCTGAATCAAAAAAACCTGGGCAAGATGGGAGGGTCATACTGGGAGGTCCAGTTTCTTAGATGCAAATCTCTTTCAAAGAACTGAGGACTTCTGTGGTCCCCAGCTCTTGAGCTATTTTCTCAGGCTCACAGCTATGGAGCAGCACTGCTAAGGGGATATTCCAGGCCAGAGACTCCAGGGTATGCATCATCTCAAGCCAGCTGGCTTGCCTTGCTGCTATATTCTTGAATAAACATCTTTGGAAGGCAGTTGGTGTGGAAATCTGGAAGCTGGAGTGCCCAGACTTGTGGCACAGTCCCAAACCTAATTGGGGTTCTAGTCTACTAAATATACAGCTCTGTTAACTTCAGTCTGTCCCTCCACTAGAGGTTTCTGCCAGCAGAGCTGTCAATTGGGAATGTGATGTGATTTCTTACAGACAAAGCAGCAGAAATCTGCAGGGAAATATCAATTATACTGGAAGGAAAAAAAAATTGCTGTATTACTAATATAGCTGATTTTGTTCACATGGCTTTGGTATCATGGTTGCTAAAGTTGTGCCTTTATATTTACTGGTAGAGGATTACTCTGTAGTAGACAACCCCAGAAAGAGAAAAAAGTAAGCATATTTAAAGATAGGCAGCTTTAAAAACTCAGAGAAGAGCATTCTGTGTTTGTATTGTGTTCAGAAGTTGAAGTTCAGCATACAAATCAGAGGAGAAAATGCCTGTGAATAGGTACCTCTTGTCCTGGTGTCTCCTGGACTTTGTATTCACCTACAAAACAGTCTGAGTTGCACATTCCACCTAATAAACTGTAGCTCCATACACAAGATGTGCAGCTGAATGCTCCCTTCCCTAGAAAGGCAAATAAAACAACAATATTACCAGAGCAAAAACTGTCATCTAACTTCCTTTAAAAATAATACTGACCGTTACCACCAAAGAAGAGTGTATTTGTTAATAGCAAGAGTCAGCAGTGAGGAGTTCAGCATAAGGAGGCTGGTATTAAAAAGAGCTTAGGCCTTGTCTTGAGGTTTTATGTGCCCACAAAATGTATTTCTCATGTGTTTTGATATTCGTGAAAAGCTGGTTTGTGAATCAGTTGCACAGGGAAGATCCAACACATTCACAAAAATCAATTATGTCAGTGCACTGAAGTAAAATTGTGGGGAACCTTGGCCAAATGGTCTCCTTCATGAAGTCAGTACTTATTAGGCCTGCTAGCTAACCATTTTAAAACCACAATCAATTAAGGTATGTTTATGTTTGAACAGCAAAATAAATTCTTTAGTTGCATAGGAAAAAAATTTCTTCGCTAGGTGCAAACAGAGCATCATATGCACTGAGTTTTGGAGGCTCTTTTTGAAGGCAGATGCTGCGTGTAGTGTTTTTGTGAAACACTGACGTGAAGGGTTTGTCCTACGGGTTAAGATGCACCTGTCTATTTCCCTGCAATTAGGCATTTTCTGCCACTGTCTGAAAGGAAGAAAGTGGAAATGCAAGTAGCTCACATTAGCAGCAGTTAAAAACTGAAGTTAGCAACCTGCTGTAACCCAGTGAATTTACTATGTGATTTTTCTGAGAGTGCAGTGTTTGCCTTCCTGCTCTTGAGAAACAAGAGACACTACAACACTTCTGTGCTCGTATGTCAGCAATGCAGATGCATGTCAAAACGCCCTCAGGTTTACGGGTTTATAAGGACTGGCTTGTGTTTCATTTTAGTGTCTCTGTAATTACGATAGAAAATCTGTCCTGTAGTATTTATTCCAAGTAAAGCAAAAATCAGTGGAAGTAGTCTGTAAATTAAAATGGCTTTTTGTTCCAAATTCAAGCCAAAATATTTCTGTTACTTGTTATAATGTTGTTATACAATTACATTTTAATAGTTCTTGAAGGTGGCTTCACTCTAAGAGTTATTCCCACAATTTTAAATATTTTTATGTTGCAATTAGCCATCTGTGCTATCCAGTATATCTGCTACCCAAAACAAATTTCGTATGTTACAATATGGCATGGTTTAAGCTGCAGAGTGCCACCTGTTAGCTATCATCTGATGCTATTCAGGTAGAAAAGGACACCAAATGGGTCCAAGGGGATTAATGCTGCTTGCTTCAGAATTGAGTGAACTACTAAAAAGAAGAAACTGAATACATATCTGTGTAACAGAACAAAATAGATGGTCTCTCAAAGTTCACTTTGAAAAATACTTGACTTCATAGTCAAAAAGCAGCAGACATAACTTTTTCTTTTTTTTTTTTTTTTTTTCTTTTTTTCTTTTCAGCCTAAAGATATGCTTTACGGCTCTTTCTACTCTTCCCTTTGCAGACTGTGAAGATGTGTGGTTGGATTTAGGTTCCCTGGCTTTCACAGAGTAGGACAAAGAGTGAGATATCGTTCAGTCATTATTGTTTGTGCAAGAAATGAGGTCCAGCCCTGTAACCAACAGAGCCCTTTTTACTGAAGTTGATGAGCATCTCTGCCAGGGGCCTGGCTGATGGAAAGTTCATTACTATTGTCTATTCTTTTCCCTTGACTGACTTGGCATGGGGACTCGCTCCCAGCCCTCCCTGAGAGCTGCTGCCATTAGGCTGGTGTACTGTGGCTGGAGGCATCCCTGTGTGGAGCTTGGCAGGAATTTATATCCTTGCTTTGATCTTGATCTATCAATACTCTAAAAGTAAGGCAGCAGCAGCAAGTCACTCGGGGCCAGGGAGAGCCTGGCAGCCCCAAGGGAGGTCTGCATTACCCACCACAGCTACTTTGGTTATGGACAGGTTGGTAGTGCTGTAAGTGGTATGTCCCTGTGAAATGCTTCCAAATCTTGGAGCAGAGAGGAAAATTAAAAAAAAAAAAAAAGAGAAGGAGGTGTTTCAATAACCCTGTTTTTGGTCAAAGCGTAGCATATGCTTTTACCTTCACAGGTCCGGCAGGAAGGGTGGCATCTTTCACAGATGTTGTCCTTGCTTTCGTAGTAATAGTCAGGGCAAGAGCTAACACATTCATTCTTGGAGCGCAACAGGTAGAAATATGTATCACAGAGAAGGCAGTCCGTGGGTCGAGGCCCCATACACTCCTTACAACCCTTGTGGCATCTCTCACATGACCCAGTGGAGTTTTGTGCAAAATACCTGAAACAGATCAGATGGCTTTACATAAAGCCCAGCAGTGACAGGAAAACTGAAACATCCTCCATCCTTAGCTTGTACTGTAATTATATCAATGTATAAAAGTGATATTGACGTGATCACAGTAAACATTTGCAATCTCTGTGAAAATATAATTATTTTTTTTTAATTCCCCTTAGACATTGGAATTCAGATATAAAGCAAGACTTTGTAAATTGAAGGTTTATAAAACAAGGCTTTCTAAAGTCGGGTGAATTCAGACACAGAGTAAGTGTATATAGATATATACAGATATATATATATAGATAAGCATCTCCTGATGACCAGCTGTCAGATGGAAATTCAGAAATTTCATATTTCCTTTCAGTGCACAAACAGGCCTAGCCAAAGGATACCAGCAGAGGAACAGTGTTCACCTAAGTTGTGCTGTCAGGAAAAAAGGATTGCTACACTGTGGTTTTGTTGAGATGTAGTCAATACAGATTTCCAATTTAATTGGATGATAACTCAATTTAAGAGCCAGTGTGATTGTACTGTACTGCAAAATGAAATGGAACTGAACCAGAAATCATAGGTCCACTTCCCAAATTTGAATTTCTGAGGCATATTCACAAAAGCACACTGAATTCACATTTTGAAATGAAATGGACTCATATCTATGAAGTTGCTGTCTAGAATTGAGTCCACAGTTGAAAAGTGTTTTGTGATTGGTTTCATTATGATTCATTATAAACAATGCAAGAAAAAAGTAACCTCATCTGAACTTCAGACTCAGTGGAGGCTGCAAGTTTGCTTGAAGGAAGTTACACTGCTTTCTGTACTCAAGCTGACTAAACAGATAGCTTAGCATATTTTTTCTGCTTCGCACTGTTTTGCATAAACAGAACCTAAAAGCATCCTTGGAGTGTTAAGAATGGCCACACCACATCAAGCTGGTCCCAATATGGGCACCAACTTTACAGTTTTCTACTGCGAGGGGAGGTTTTCCACCACCTCTGTACTAGAACAACATAATAATTTTTCACCTGAAAATAGAATTCAGTTCTATTTCACCCTGAAGTAGAATAGGGCAGAGTGATCTAATTTCTCAAAGCTCTTCCTGTGATGTAGCTCTTAGCTAAAGATCTTGGACCTTACCCTGCTGGACACTGGTTTATGCATCCTCTTCCTTGTCTGTACCAGCCAGGTTTGCAGGAAAGGCACTGTGAGCTGTGTTTTCCAGTGCAAGTGACACAGGTGCTGTGGCATGGGGAACATTGTCCCTCATCACTGTCAGCATAATACCCATCTGGGCATGTTTCAACACAGGTTGTATCTGCACAGACAACAATGCAGAATAACACATCATATTCAGTATTTGCTGCTATATAACATCCCATACAGCTGTGCTAGAACAAACTTGCTAACAAGGGGTGCTGTTAGAGTGTGGACCAGCACAAGAAAAGAGAATATTGGGATATAGTAATTATTTTTTGTTTTTTTCCCGAGCCTTGTCTGTTCATTAGTCCTCATTTCTGCATTTTATATACATTATCAGGCTCTTTAGAACAGATAATTTTTTATCTTTGTGAAATGTAAATGCATAATACATAATAATTAACAACAGCTGTGATTTCTTTCAGAATATACAGAAGAAATAGTAATTAGGAAATTTTCTATCTGCATTTCCGTTTTCCTTAGGTTTCACTCTAAACATCAACCTAACTGCATTCTGTGTGTATGACAAATCTGATGGTAAATTTGAGATTTAATGACATTTGTTCATTGGTCTTTACCCTTGTCTGTGGCTGCTACTTTATGTTATGGGAATAAATGCCTGTAGTGCTCCCAGATGTATCAGGTGTACATCCCACTTTTCACTGAGATTTCAGAGGGTCATTAGAATAGGAATTTTGAATGACAAATTAGAACTGATGCAACTAACTGCAAGTGCATCAAGCTAAGAGAGCAGTGATTACTCAGTAGCTTGTACTCATTACATAGCTTGTCTTTATGGTTTTGCTGCTCAGGTTGCAACTGGGCAAAGGAAGATACTTGCCCTTATTTCTGTTCTTGCAATTCTTTCTCCGCTCCAGGATGTTTATTTACATGCTTTCATCAACTTTACCAGTTGCATTACTAATGGTGCAAAACAGCTGAGTGTGTGGATAAAAAAAGGTTTGATGCAAGACCTCAGAAATTTAAGAACATAAAGTCTGCATCAGGATTAGACTCAAAAAGCTCAGGTTCAGTTTCAATTCAAACTCTCTTAAGATTTTTTTCCTGCATGAAATAACACTTAAATATTTTTTTCTCCCAATGATTTTCTAAAACTTTTGTTTGCTTTTTAAAGAATATGTAAAGAAGTAAAGTTCAAGTTCTGGGATTTTATACTTTTTACCAATTTGATTCTGAGAAAATATAGTCTTTTGCTCCAAAATCAGAAAAGTAGTTTTGCACCTCAGCCTTCCACGAGATACTGACCTAGTGAACAACTTTTTAACAGCTCTGCTTAAGTATTTCTTTGCTCATCAGGATTTGCTGCAGGGATTAAAAAAGCCAACATAAAAAATGTGAGCTCTTTGTGCATATATTAAAAAAAAAAAAAAAAAGCTAAGGATATCCCTCTTGTCTTTTTAAGTTCCTTGTAGGAAACAACAGGAACCGTACATACAAATAAATGAAACATACAGGTTTTGTTTAGCCATGGAGTTTGTTTGTTGCTACTTAGAGGTCCTGCTTTGACCCAAATGAGTGGCAAGCCCAGACTCACAAAGAGTTTCCAGGGAAGCTCACAGAAGTTATTATCTCTGCACAAGTTATCTACTTGTCAGGTTAACTTTGCAATATTTTAATTGGCTGAAGCATCCCTAGATGTTTCTAAATCTGACAGAAACTTGCCTATTTCATGGTTTCAGTGTAGAATAAAATCTGGAGGTCGGAGCAAGACACTTACTGAGAAGATAGTGGTTATTTGCACAGCTAAGACACTGGTGTTCCGTGGGTCCTGAGCAGTGGAAGCATTTCTTATGACAAGGCTTGCAGGTCTGAGTTTTCTCAATGTAGTACTCGGTGTGAGAGCAGTATCCAGATGATACACAGTGCCCGTCATGATTTAGCATCAGGCCATTTCTGCAAGTAAGGCAGGCAGTGGAAGAGGAACAAGTCTGGCATGTCTTGTTGCATGCTGAAATGGACAAACAGTAGGGATGTCATCGTTTCTTGTTGCATTTGAGATTATTACTTCAGCTTTAATTTTGCAAGAAGCAGCCATCATCTTAGGATAAGATACTAAGGGAAACAACGATAGCTCTGCTTTTGCATAGTAAAATATTTTACTGTTTTCAGTCTTATGCAGACAGTTCCTTAGGTTTCCTTTTTTCACTGGCACTGCTGTTGCTGAGCAGTGGTTTTCAACACACTATCTCCAGCAGTACTCAGCACTTTACCAGAGTCGTTGCCCATAATATTAAACACATCTAGCTTTGTTTCCTCCCTCTCAACTTTCTCCCATTTTGCTGTTCTAAGCTATGCCTTTTTCTGCATTAGTCCTCTGTGTGCAGAACACTGATAGTGACTTTAGCCAGCACACGCAGGCCCTTTTGGGATGGATTTTAACCAGACCCACTTGTATCTCAGTACCGTTCTGGAGAAAACAACAACTGCCAACCTTGACAATCTTCAGTGGCTTCTTCATAGTAAGTCCCTTCAGGGCACTCTTCAAAACACATGCCACTGTAGAGGACAAAGAAGTCAATGGTGCACTCTGTGCAGTCGTCAGAGTCTGGGCCGTTGCAATCCTTGCAGTCTGCATGGCAGGGAAAGCAGTGCTTGTCTTCAGGGTAGAAGTGAGAAGGACAGTCCTGCACACACTTCCCCTCGTGCAGAAAGAACTCATCCATACACTCTACAGAGGACAGCAAACAGCAGGTAAGCAAATGGGCAGTGACTCTGACCTCTGTAAGTGAGGGAATGAAGAAATCCTATGAAACCATAAATCCTGCAGTGCCTGTTTTAACAGGAGGTAAGAGGACAGTTTGGGAAGGTAGTACTTTCTTTTTCAACGTCTTCCCCTTCCAAACTGCCCATAATGACCCAATCCACACACAGCATCTTCTGTGTTACATTAAAGGACTGAGAAGCCAAGTCACCTGTTCAGCTTTGCTGATATTAACTAAACCATACTGTCACTGAATATAGGTGTAATTCTGATGAGATACTATATCTGCATTGTGAACTTCCTGCAAAAATCAGGGATGTCCACATCTTAAGTTTTGTTTGGTTTATTATTAAAATATGACTCTGACTGGAATATATGGACCTGAATGTTTGTCTTTGCACAGAGCTGGGATTCAGCAGCTAATTTTATTATGAGTACTTGGTTTAATAGCTTTGTTTATGATTATTTTTGTTTCATCTGTGTTTACGTTTCCAGAGTGACTTGCTCAATATTAACTATCTTGGCAATTTTTGTAGGGACATTCAGACTCAGAAGGATATTTAAGGGTTTTCTAACATGTTTCATTACAAAGATTTCAACTTCTACTATGAGTAGTCATTTGCAAAAATGGTAAAGAGATGTAAAGTTCAACCAAACTAGGAAAATGCCATTTGGTATTTCACATTGGTGTAAATCTGTATGCAAGTCTTTAGGCATGGATACACTCTGTCAGAAATATAATAAAACCAGTGGGAATCTCTGAAGAACAAGAACATACAAAGCAATGTGAAATCTTTACAGATGAATAGTTTAGGCTGTCTCATCATAAAGCTCTGATTGCTTAGCTTCTGTCTTAAAGATTAACAATGTACATATCTTTTTTAATTTTTGCTTATTACAGAATTTCTTTTCAGATCTGAGCTTCTGTCAGACAGATCCAGATGCATTTTAGCCAAGTCAACACCAGTTCTTTATAATACCTTTGCATGTTTGATTGTGAATGCACTCCTGGCACATTTCAGGGCAGTGTTTGCAGATTCCTTCAGAGGCAAAATGCTTCTCTGAACAGGTAGGTTTACATTTCCACTGCTCCAAAAGCAAAGGACTTTTACAGGACAGGCAATCGGTTGCACTTCCCATACATGTCTTACAGGATTCACTGCATTCCTTGCAAGTCTCAGAATCATTAAAATATCCCCTATTGAATGAAAACAAACACAAAGCAAACTGGAGGTCAATGTACAGTTATCAAACAGTCCAGACTAGAAGAATTACAAGTATATATGAGACTTTTCCAGCACACACATTTCACTGGATCAAACAGGTTTCTCACACAATTTGTTGCCTGTTCTCTACTTCCATCCCCTCTACCTGGGAGCAGTAAATGTGCATGGTGGGTGCTATGAATGGAGAGTGGCCTTCCTTCATTCTTGTACCTATTCTCTAAGGGAAGTTGGACTTCCTTGTTCATTTCTTGATTTCCCCCTTATGTAAGATAGGAAGATCTACAATGTTTGGGAAAAGAAAGAGGCAATCTCTAGTCTTGCACAGCTGTCCCTCAACAGTGGTATCAGGGAAAACTTCAGTGGCCCTAGAGGGGAGAAAGAGAAGAGAAAACTCTGGAAGTTGAAGGCTGGGAAGAATAAGGAGGACTGGAATGAAAAAAACCCAACAAAACCAGACTGCGTAAGTAGTACCTTTGTTTAATGATAGCAAGCTAGAGACAGTGAGGAGGTAGCATGTTTTACTGGTATCTGTGGTGTGAGAGCAACTGCAGACAATCACGATTGGGACTATGAGTCATAAAGAAAACATAGTAAAAAATTGTGCCCATAATTCAGGAGAAGGGGGATAAAAGGAGAGGCTAGATGCAATCCAATCTGCCGACACTCAAAACCAAAATGTTAGCAGGTTAAAGGACAGGCAAGTCCACATTTTAAGAGGATTGCTAATCCATATGTGTGCAGCCATTGCTGAAAAATAAGAAAGAAGATGACATAGGAAGTAGTCCAAGAACATGTACTTCACATCAACAAGCTTGTTCTTCCCTGTAGCGGGGTGTTTCTCATTTCCTTCTTGGAAATTATCTTTCCAAATAAAGGCTAAGGGGATGCATCAGGAGCAAGGTTAGAGAAAATATAGGAAGAGTTGTGCCTGCCATCTGTTCTCTTCTTTTTTCCTCCTAACCTTTGTCACAATCCTGCATCTATTTCTCACAGTCCTGTCTTCTTCTCTTGTTCCAAGCCTGAGTATATGTCTATCCCAGTCTTTCGGAATCCTCCGTCAGAAATTATCGATGCAGCAAGTCAACCCTTTTATCTCCTACGGCATGTCCCAAAACTTAAAAAAAAACCTTAAAAAAAGAGAGAAATCTCATATAATCCTCTGCTCCAGTGGAAAGTAGTTGTGCCTCAAGGACTTTGCCTCAGAGGCTGCAACCAGAGTTTAATTCTGGTGGACTTTGCTGAGTGATGTCTGTGAAGCCATTTTTTATAGTCTGGAATTTGGAAAAACGGGGATAATAACAGCTGAAATGACTAGTGATATATGAAAAGGTTTAATTTTGTTATACTGACTCTGTGTGGGATACCTGTGGGGAATGAGTATTGGGAACAAATGTTAATGCCAAACATTATCTTTGCTTGTATGCTGCAATTTCTGATATTGTTTCTGGACTAGAGTAGGCTTTAGTGCAATTACTCTGACATTTGATGATCAGAATCTGTTCCACTGGCCCTTATTTGACAAAATTAGCAGGAAAGTACTGCCAGAAAATTTGTATTGATTGTAAGAAAAGCAGGAGCTGCACATTTTTCTGAAGAAAAAGGTTAACCAAGCAAGATCTTCATACTTCATAGCAGAGATTTTATGTGTGTGTATAAGCGTGATGAATGCTGATGAAAAAAGCACAGAAACAGGAGAGCCTTATCTACTCAATTAGGTCAGTGCCTGATCTAATATTCATTGCAGTCAAATAGGAATTTTTCTTTTTGAATTCCATTTATTACAAGAAAAAATAAAGAACATAAGGCAAAGAGAGAAATACATCACTAAGCACTATATTTTTTCCATCAGGAATCTGATGCATCCACTTTATGTGTTCACACACCTCTACTTTGAGGAAGGACCAATTAGGAGAATGACTAGATGTTTACTTTCAGTCACCCTAAAGGACTATCCCAAAGTAAACTGGCCCTGTTGAGGTTAATGGGAGCTGTACCATCTGTCATAGGATTTCATGTCTAGTTTCACTTTTGATTTTTCAGTTTTTCTCTAAGGAAGAGAAAATGCTGGTTTTTTAGGCTGGCTGAAAATTACTTTTAGCTTGTGGTAGTTTCTGATGGCTTAGGTTACATTAAGGTCTCCCTTGAAAGGTTTATAATGGATCTTAACTTTAAAGAGAAGAAGCACAGTAAGAAAATAAAGAGCAGTCATCCAACAGGAGTTACTTACTCAGGGCAGTCCTGTAAACATCTGCCTTGGTGGAGGAAGAGTGGCTGGTCCTGTTCAGCCTGACACTTCTGACAGTGCCAGTGGTCAGAGCACACCTCACAGCCATCCATGCACATCTCACACTTTCCACTTGCAACATTGCCAAAAGTTTTTTGAGGGCACAGAGAAACACAGGTATCATGGAGAAGAAATTTTCCTGGCAAAAAAGCAACCAAAGTGGGGCAAGGCACCAATTAGAAATACATTTAAAAGATTCCTGTCTTAGATGGCTTTAAAAAAGCTTCCAACTTCATTGAAATTTAACTTTTTGAGGCTTAAAAACATGAATAAAATATTCTCTAAGCCATTTCCTGAAGTAGTTTGCTCAACCTTCACTGAAATTTATGGTTAGAAGGAATCATCAGGATTATCTTGTACATCTTCCTGAATAAATCCCTAGTCAGTAATTTCTGCATCATGTCTACAACTTTTGATTGAAAAGAAGGAAAAGGAACAATATCCCCCTAACAATTTTTTTTACACTTGTTGCCAAAGGCATGTGCCTAATTTCTAGCTGAAGCCTTACTTCACCTGGCAATTATCTGATTACTTGCCCATGCTTTAAGCTGTCAAAGAACTTTCTAGTGACCAATGACAAAAATATTTCATGTAAGTGTGTAGGATACAGAATATTTTAGCCTCCTGCAAAACTTACCCAAAGTAGATGAAGTCTCTTACCTTCTGGACATGAAGTGCATATGTCAGCAGATTTCTCACAGGTCCTACATGAAGGGTCACAGGACTGCAATTTGTTTTTTGCGCCTAGGATGAAAAGAAAAAAAGTTCCCTTTTTTACTGTCTTACACTGGTTTTGTTCATTTACTCTTCCTTTAGGAGGGCCATTTCCTGTGGCTTTTTCTAAACTGTTTCAGAAATGTACATCTGTGAATTTTTGGAATTCATGAAGTTGAAGAACACTCTCTTAAACGATAACTTAAAGGTTGTAATCAAGGATAATAAAGACGTTATCCTGAGGTTCACTCAGGCACTGTTCTGGACTGCTCATTGCATATGGGAACAATAATCTAGTTTAATAATGTTAGCTTCAATGTAGTGCTCCAAAACCAAATCCACATCTGTAATTGTGTTATATTGCAAACAGGAAGAGCTAGAAAGTATGTAAATTTGGGGGACTTGGTGTAGTGAGGTATTCTCATGGAGATTTTGTACTAGCTGCAAACACCCTTACCCTGTAACTGAAGGAGAAAACTCTGAGTAGGAAGGAGAGAGTAATGGGTATTTGGAAAGAATATCTGTTAAATAACTCTCTGCAAAGCTATTGCCTGCCATTTCCCTCAAACAGAAGAGTCTGATGTGTGTCAAATGGGGTTTTTGTGCCTCTGGAAGACTAAGACTTTGGTTATAGAATCATAGAATCATAGAATGGTTTGGATTGGAAGGGACCTTAAAGATCATCTAGTTCCACCCCCCCTGCCAGCAGCAGGGACACCTTCCACTAGACCAGGTTGCTCAAAGCCTCATCCAGCCTGGCCTTGAACACTTCCAGGGAGGGGGCATCCACAACTTCCTTGGGCAACCTATTCCAGTGTCTGACCACCCTCACAGTGAAGAACTTCTTCCTAATATCTAATCTAAACCTCCCCTCTTCCAGCTTAAACCCATTTCCCCTTGTTTTGTCACTAGTTGTCCTTATGAAAAGTCCTTCCCCGGCTATGTGGGGAAGGACTTATGCTTTGTGTAGACTTTATTCAGTGTGTTACTCAGCTCCAAAATGACAAGGAGATTCAAGGATCATACTTAATACAGAGAAAGTCTGCTGTGCAGTGTGATAGGTCCCAGCATGCAGCTCTGTATTTTGATCCAAGCTATTGTAACAATGGGTAAATGGGTGTCTGATGAAAAAGTAATTGTGGGCCAACGGACAGAAGACAATAGCCTTTTGATTTTGTTGAGGATAAAAAATAAAGGATAAATGAGAAGTTGGTTGCAGATTGAGCTTTGCATCTCAGCTAGCACATCCAGCTCATCCTGCCAGTTTAATATGTATAATTTCTATAAGTCGGTGGACTGGCTGACAATATCCATTAGCCACATGCAGCATATCCCAACACTTTTTTATTCTGCCTGTTATGGAAAGGTGGTTTAAAATGTTGACATTCTGAATGCAATTCATGAAAGCAAACACTTCCAGCAGAAAGAGAAGGGAGGAGAACAGGAAACTTATATAGAGCCCTTTCCTGCAAGGGGAAATGGTGAGCATTTTATTAAGTAGAGAGGCACTCGCTGGAGAAGTGGACATATGCATAACATCACACAGGGGCAGGAGAAAGAAAAATTGTAATAAAAATATTAATTGTTATTTATAACTCTACTGCAAAATGAACTGAGCCATAGATATCTCAGTGAAGGAAGTTAGGTCCACATTCAGTGTGTCTGAGAGATGGTTCGTAACAATATGTCACATCCGCTTCTGACTCTATCAGCAGCTCATAACATCTTAAAAACTCCATGCACTAAAAAATCTCTCAATATGCTCTCCCTGGACAGAAAAAGAACAACTCAGGAGGGTCCAGGGACAGCACAGCAGATTAAAACCTGGCTGTTTAACAGTAGGGCATTCAGCAAGGACATGGTTAGTCATTCTTTACTGGGACTACTTGTGAATACTACTTGCACAGGGTAGTGAATCCTGTAGTGTTGCAACTCTTGTTGGTAACTGGCACAATGTAGAGAAGCTCCAGATATAGTATGAGATTAGGAGAGTTTTCCTTGTCAGCACCCTTTCGGCTTCAGCATCCCTTGCCTCCCTAAGGCAGGGCCCAAAGGCACACCCAAACATGCAGGGTCCAGGCACAGGCTATTGGATCCACAGGATAATGAATGTAACAGGAGAAATCTGCATGCCATCAGGGTGAATGTGGGTTGTGGCAGTCCAGACTGGAGACTAGATTTGCCCAGATTGAGGTCAAGGAACAAAGTATTGGACCCTTGTGTGTACCATGCAAGACAGCGAATAGCTTTAGTATTGGCTTTAATAGCCAGAAAAGTTGGTGATCATGGTGAGTCAGAGACCTATCAAGGACCAGGACAGGTAGAATTAGGACAGCATTTCAGTAAGTATCACCTGAAGACTGTTTTCAGCTCCAAAGGTACAGAGGCCTTCTGGAGGTAGAAAATGCCCCAAACTGAATTTTGACATGTGCAGCCTCAAATACTACCAAACAGCTGACATAGAACCCCTGAGTTTGAGGACACAGGAAGGCTGTGTCACCTTTGAGAATTCATACTGACCATAGTTGAACCTGAGGGGTATCAGGTAATCATCAGTGTGCAAAAACTGAACCCTCTGGAAAAGCTCTTTGGAAAGACAAGAACAAGTAAGGAAGGTACAGAGTCCCTGACTTGTGGAAGAAGAAGAGATAGAAGTGGTGTATAAGTATGAGAAGCCCAAAAGAGTTCTGATTTTCCCACTAAAAATATCATTGGCCTTTTTAAAAATATGCAGTAAATAGCACAAATTTTCATTTCCCTTTTCAGCAGCTTTGCATCCAGCTACCTTACCCTGGCTAATGTTTTATTTTTTTAAGAATCCCTACTGAGTAGTTTTAAGTGCAGTAATTTAATACCAGTTATGTGTGTGAAGAAGCAAGCCAGAAATATTACTGAAGTATGTGTTGCCAGGGGAAAAGGACCTTGATCCTGGCAAGAGAGTTGGTGTAATATATATACAAAAAAAAATATCAAGAAGTTAAGGTTAAGCAGAGAAGTTGTTAACTACCACTGAAGAATATTTAAACAAGCTCATGGTTTCAAAAGTATTTCAAGCCTTACAATTAAAGATCTTCTACAGTGAAGTACTTTTAGTTTCCATTTAGTCCTTGCCCCTTTGGCATTTTCTGTTTTCTGTAATATTTGTTGGTCGCCACCAGAGGGGAATGTACACAAGCAATTGGACTTCTGATAGTTGGCTTGGGATACAGCCTTCAGCTTTCTGGTCAGATCTAAGCTCTTTAACGGCCCAACTCTAGAAATAAGACTTTTTTTTTTTTTTTTTTTTTTT